ACTGACGTCACGCTGCTGGTTGGCGGGCAACCTCTAAGAGCACACAAGGCAGTTCTTATCGCCTGCAGGTTCGAGGGGATAGGGGTCCTGGGACTAACTGGGTAAAGAACAGAGTCACAAGGCTGTTGAGAGGTAATCCAACGCAGGAGGGAAGTTGGGAATAGTGGCCCACACCTGTAATCCAGAACTGGGGAAGCAGAGGAGAGGGGATAGGAAGGGAAGAAAGAGAAGCATGGGGAGCATCCAAGAATTGGGGCAGCAGTGCTAGTGGGGAAGCAAGACTCTAAGGCATCTTGTGTCTCCTTTGGTCTCCCAGCTCCTAACACGGTCCCATTGTCCTCTCTCCAGTGGCTTCTTCTATTCAATTTTCCGAGGTCGAGCAGGAGTCGGAGTGGATGTACTCTCTCTGCCTGGGGGGCCAGAAGCCAGGGGCTTTGCCCCTCTTCTGGATTTTATGTATACTTCAAGGCTTCAACTCTCTCCAGCCACTGCACCAGCTGTTCTTTTGGCTGCCACCTATCTGCAGATGGAACATGTAGTCCAGGCATGCCACCGCTTCATCCAAGGCAGGTGAAGGAGCGGAGGGTTAGTGTTCTCGGTACAAGTGGTACTCCTGGTATTATGGGCCAGAGCAACGATTAGGAAACGGTGTTAATGGCCATCATACTTTTTCTAGCTATGAACCTCTAGGCATCTCCCTGAGACCCCTGGAGGCAGAACCCCCAAGACCCCCAACAGTCCCTCCACCAGGCAGTCCCAGGCGCTCAGAAGGACACCCAGATCCACCTACTGAATCTCGAAGCTGCAGTCAAGGCTCCCCCAGTCCAGCCAGTCCAGATCCCAAGGCCTGCAACTGGAAAAAGTACAAATTTATTGTGCTAAATTCTCAGACTTCACAAGCAGGGAGCCTGGTTGGGGAGAGCTCTGGTCAACCTTGCCCCCAAGCCAGGCTCCCTAGTGGAGATGAAGCCTCCAGCAACAGCAGCAGCAGCGAAGAAGGACCCACACCTGGTCTCCAGAGCAGGTACAGAATCTATAACTCCCAAGAGTTTTAGAGGCTGGCCTACGATAGGAGGCAGAGCTACTGAGGGTGCCTTCTGGGGATGGGGTTTCAGAGAAACTAGTCCACCTTAGGGATTAGGGAGTTAGCCAAAGGTCAGAGGGGATGTGACTTATTGACCAATATTAGCTCACTTCCAGAAGATATAGATCCATATTTTCCAGGAAAAAAGCAGTGTACCACACACATTCGAGTGCACATGTGAAACCACCCACCCGCCCCCATAAGCACTAATCTTTTCTATGGTTCCTACCATCTGCCCAGACTATCTCTAGCTACTACCAGTGCACAATTCAAATGTGGACCTCCAGCAAATGCCCCCTACCTCTTAACACCCCTGGCTCAAGAGACTTCTGGATCAACTTCTAAGCGAGCTCACCCAACACCAGGTAAGAGTCCTTCTTTCTCTTCTGGCTTCTCTCCTGTAGCTGTTCCAGACCAACCTGGACCAAAAGACCTGGGGGGGGGGGCAAAAAACAAACAAACAAAAAACTGTTAAACAGTTCCCAAACTTGGCTGCAAAGTAGACCTTTCTGTGAAGTTTTCACCTCATCAGTCAGACTATCTGAGAGTGGGGACGAATCATAAAATTTTTTAAGCTCTCCATGTCCTTCCAAAGAGCAGCACAGTTTGGGAATTTTTGGCCTACCCCAGTCCAGGACTGAACAGTCTGCCCAGAGTTTGGCAGGACCTCTCTGGCAGTCTGTCACCCAGAGTGAGGAAAGAAAGGAGAGAAACAGAAACCTCCACCCACTTGCAAGAACTTTCACATACTGTCACCACCATCGAATTCTATAAGCATACTACTAAATCAGACATACCTTACTGAATATACGGCCATGAGCAAGCCAAGTGAGTCCTCCAGTAGCCTTCACAGTAAATTAGGGATTAAAAAGGCAAGTAAATTCTACTAGTGTACTGTTGTGGATTCACTGGTACCTGGGAAGTCCTCAATAAATAAGATTGTCATTATTCTCCACCCTTCCCAGGAGGTGAGTTTTTCAGCTGCCAGAACTGTGAGGCTGTGGCTGGGTGCTCATCGGGGCTGGACCCCTTAACTCCGGGGGACGAGGACAAGCCTTATAAATGCCAGCTGTGCCGATCTGCCTTCCGCTATAAGGGCAACCTGGCTAGTCACCGCACAGTGCACACAGGTAGGAGGGGGTCTAGTCTTCGTGCCCATCGTTCTCTTAAGGCGATCTGACTGTCTTCCTCCTTACTTGCAGGGGAAAAGCCCTACCGCTGCTCCATCTGCGGAGCACGTTTTAACCGACCAGCTAATCTAAAAACGCACAGCCGCATCCATTCTGGAGAGAAACCGTACAAGTGTGAGACGTGTGGCTCGCGTTTTGTTCAGGTAAGGAGAGGGCTGGAAGGCAAGTGGGAGGAGCAGAGAGGGTTCTGCCCCTCCCCGAGGCGATCATAAGGCTCCTCCCCTCCTCAGGTGGCACACCTACGCGCACACGTGCTGATCCACACCGGAGAGAAGCCCTATCCGTGTCCCACCTGCGGGACTCGCTTCCGCCACCTACAGACCCTCAAAAGCCACGTTCGCATCCATACAGGAGAGAAGCCATACCACGTGGGTACCCTATACGTCCTAGTAGTTATCCCCCCACATACACGCAGGCAGGGCCAGGTTTTGCCACCATTGCTAGATTTCTTAGAAATAGGCGGCGTGAATCAGGGGCTTGGATTTGGGAGAAGGGTGGTGGTAAGTATATT